AATTTTTTATTATTTTGTGTGCGTGTACCGTCAAATCAGATCTGACTGGTACAGGAGGATATTGCGCCTCCTTCTCCGGCAGAGCATCTGGTGGATTCAAACCGTGTTCCTCTGGGATTGCAGTGCAGCTTCTTGCCACTAGGCCACCAGAGCTCCCCAAAACTGACATTTTCAAAGGTTCTTTTTTATTTTACTTGGATACACAGTTAATGCCCTTGGAAGCAACAATGAAAAGGAAAGTAACTTTTTACTGCATTGAGCACATCTGCTACAAAAGACCTTTTTAAAATGCTAAAGAATGAAGATTTAGTCCACTTTGTGGACTAAAGCCATGGCATTTTCAGTCACCTCATACACATGTGAAAATTAAACAATGAATAAGCTCAAAGTGGAATTGATGCCTTTGAATTAATGTTCTTAGCAAAGAATAGTGGACTGCCAAAAGGAGAAACAAACCTGTCTTAGATGAAATGCAGCTAGAATGCTCCTTGGAGGCAAGAATGGTAAGACTATCAGTTATTTAATAACAACAGTAATTTAGATAAACATGAGACAGCCCCTAGTCAGATAACTTGTTTCCCTGTAAGGTAAATCATTTTCTCCCGGGGTTTTTAAAAAAAATACTAAAGTAGCAAAGGTAGCACTTAATCCTTTCCTTTTTTATTAGATACCATATCTTTTACAGCAGATGTACTATATTTTCCACACATGCAATGCTTGCTATATATTTTTGTGTTTGGGGTGGCTTGTGTTTGATTGGAATTATTTTGCAAATTGTGCAACCCCCTACATGTTCATTTCTTATGTAATGCTGTGTGATTATATGCATGTGAACATTATTTACAGAGAAACATAATATGTGAAAATAGTGTATCTTTTCACTGTATTCTGAGTTCTGTGCCTTTGTGCAGTGTAGAGAAATATACACCACTTTTTGTTTTTCTTCACTGTGAGACGAATCCTGGTTTTTTCAGGCACCATTAAGATGGTTGGAATAATGCACCCCCATGGGGCTTTGTTCACAGTAGCAAGAGGTTACAAACAAACAAAGTGCCCATCAACAAACAAATGGATAAAATCTGTGGTATATTCACACAATGGAATACTACACTGCATTGAAAAATAAGGAACTCATGCAATATTATTCAAAATGGGTGACCCTGGAGGGCATTATGCCCAGTGAACTATCTCAGTCACAAAAGGACAAATATTGCATAGTGCCGCTGTTGTAAAACAGGACCAACATCAGAGTTGGGGGGAGACTGAGAGAATGATGGGATAAATAATGTGTACTGCATTGGAACAGATGAGGCAGAAACCTGTTTAAAAGGAATATGTGATTAGGTATTGTCATGACAGGAGTCCAGAATGAAAGCTGCATAATGGAGTGGGCCTCGGGGGAGGGACTGTATAACAATGAAAGAATTTTCCTTTTACTTTTGAAAGAGTGAACTGGGGGGAGGAAGGGGTGAGCAGGGAGAAAAGTGCAACAGTGAGTGAATGGAAATCCTCAGTCTCTGTAAACTTTCATTAAAATTAATAAAAAATTTAAAAAAAAAAAGATGGTTGGACTATATCTGCCAATACAGAAAACCAATCTATTGAATAAGGAATCAGCTAGCAAAGAAGACAGCATCTTTCTTATCCAGTGTAATAACAATGTCCCTGTAGCATAGTATTAGCTGTGATGCTAATGGTTTGTCCTCTGTCTCTGTCTGTATAAGATATCTCTTTTTTTTTGTCTTTAAAGAACAGAAGTTTATTTTTCTGTAGTTCTAGAGGCAGAAAGCCCAAATCCTGGGTCTCAGATATGAGAATTCCTTCTGTGGGCCTCCTGTATAAGACATCTTATGCTTTTCTATGAAGTGAACTATATTAATTTTCGTTTGACCCAGGGTAAAATAAATGCTAATAACCACCATCTTTCTATCTCAGACTTCTTGACAGGTATTTCTCTAGACTTGATGTGTTGATAATGTTAGAATGTGAGTCTTTTTAGGCCTTTGTATTTCACCATCCCTAGAAACTCAAGGTTGGACTTTAGATTTCTAGGAGCATCAGGAAGAAAAAACAGAACAGCAACCTCCTGCCTTTCTTCTTTTCTTCCGGCTCAAAAATATTGAACTAGCACTTCTCATGTATGCTTTTAAGGTTCTTAGGGGAAGTGATAGCAGAAAGATGGAGATGTCTGATATAGCTCTTGTTACTGAGGATCCCCTAGTGGTATTGAAATTGTAGTTTGTAGTTAAGATTTATTATCAGAATATAAACATTTAGCTAAATAAGGCAAGTCCAGTCAACTGACACCCGATTGATTGTGGACCAAAATGTCAGAAACAACCAAACATTCCATACTTGACCCTCAAGACGTGACAAACCATCTTCCAGAATCCTACCATTTCACAGGAGCCACCAAGCTGCAGACATAGTCCAGCACTCATTGTTGTTATTATGTGCCATCAAGGTGCTTGTGACTCATAGCAACCCTATGTATAACAGCCCCAAACCATGCTTTATCCTGTGCCAGTCTTATTGTCTTCAATACCTACCTCCACTACCCCAGTCTCTGAATCTCATCAAGGGTCTTTCTCTCATGTGCTGTCCCTCTATCCTCTCCAAGAACTCACTTTTTAAATACAGGTACTGGTGGACTGTAAGGAGAGACTTGTTAGCTAAATTTGACAAGTCCAAACAGCTGACACCGGATTGTGGACAAAAAAACCAAAACCAGCCACACATTCCATACTCAACCCTCATCAAGACGTGAGACACCAGCTACCAAAATCCAGCCACTTCACAGGAGCCTCCAAGCTACAGACTTAGTCCAGCTCTACCGCTTTTTAAATATAGGCATTTATAGGCATTCCTACTTAAAGAAGAAATAAGGAGGCCCAGGAAAGGAAAGGTTGGTGTATTTGGTTAAGTGCTGAGCTACTAACCAGAAGACTGGTCCATGTCCACTGAGAGGCTCCTTGGAAATAAGGCCCGTGATTCTCTTCTGAAAGTTCACACTATTGAAAACCTTTTGGAACAGTTCTCTGTACACAAGGGTTCATACAAGTCAGAATCCACTCAAAGTTAACGAAAAAAAAAAAAGGAAAGAAAGGACGGGAGAGAGAGTCTGGGATGGAACTGTTTCTTCTTTCTATTCTCTAATACTAGAGGAAATGACTGTTTTCTGTTAAACAGAGGAGTTTGGAGCAAGATGGTCACACTTTTACTCTTTGTGCAGAAGTGAAGGTCAAATGCAAGAAAATTATCTATTGTTTTCTTTTGTTTGTAATGTGTTCTACAGATATTGAAGTCAGTGACCACACCGTCAGCATGCTGAGTCAAGTGTGCCGCTCTGGTTTCCAGCCCTTTGGCTGCCACCGTCTCCTGCCCTGGGTCCAGTCCACAGCCATCACCAGATCTCGTATGTACAGTGGGAAATGAAATAGTATGTGAGAAGTTTGGTGGTCAAGATATATTTCAGGAAAAAGTGGAGCCTCAGAGTCCCAGTCGCCAGTGATCCATTCAGC